CTTAGCTAGCCAGTCATCAAGCACCTCTGAATTTGACTCATTGATCCTCTAGAGTAAAAGGAGGTGTTGAGTGTGCGGAGATTAAATCTCCAATTTGTGTGTGCCAACTCCTTTTACGAAAAGACTCACTTTGTTAGCATAATGCTCTTTAAAGTTACAACGCCCGAAACGCTTGTGTCTTTTGATACACTGCTTCTAATAAAACTGGTTAACCTTTTAGTTCATTATGCTTTTAATTTTATTGCTCTGCATTCAGTGGGTGAAATTATTCACCATATTAGCATGTCACATCACAGCTATCTCGCTGCAAATTTCTAGTACACCCAGCCAAGTGGAATTTACTTGCTAAGTTGCAGTGAAAAAAAGAGAATCAATAATTCCAGAGAAACTCGTTTGTTGTGGACTTGTTAAAACTTTACACACTGCCTTCCACAATTTTGCTCAAAGATATATAGCTGCAATCCATTCTTTTTTAAAGCACATTTATATGCCCCAAACTCACAAATGTTCAACTTAAACCAACTAGAAACACTGCACTTATTGTTATCGGTAAAAACTATATGCATCTACATAACTGTGCCCTCAAGAGGTTAAACACAGTATAACTTTCATGTAAAATGTCAGGTTTAAGAAACAATGTAGTAGAAATGCTTGCAAAGTGTAATACTCACTACAGTTCTCAAAGTGCAGTCCATGGACCACTGGTGGTCATCAGCCATAAGTTAGTGTGAGGAAAGTGGGGCACCAGTCTTGGGCAGTGATTTATGGAATGCCAAAAGCATTCCTCAGTGATTCCTACCTCTGCTTTCTGGCATTCCCACTCCCCAGACCTCCAGCACTCTGCAGGCCCCCTCCCCATACCCTGTCTCTCCATGCCCTTACTGTGCATTTGACAGCATTTCTGCCTAGGGTGCCAAAAGTGCTAGTTCCACCTCTGACCATCTGCAAGCTGGATGGCCACACGCAGCTGGCAACTTCTTATTTCCAACTGCTAAATTGTATAAGTAGATAAAAATGAACATTAAACACTAATGTTTCTTTTTCACATCAGTTGCCATAATTCCTCTAGGACTGTCACATTGTCATACAGGAAGCATTTCATGCAACTGTGAAGGAAAGAATCCACCAGACAATCTTCCTGGTAAGACTGAGAAAGGAAGAAAACCCAGGAGTACAGTATCTTAGTGTCTTTTTCAAAATGTATGCAACACAGAGCTCCCTCCGATTATCTGAAATAGTCTGTATACACTGGGGACATTTTTACCCATGCTCCAATGTATTCTGATTAAACACATCAGAGCAGACTTGTTTAATTGAGTCTGTTGGAGCATTCCAATCAGAACGTTCCAGCGTGCTGCAGCATCTTGTGTATTCAGCTTCCCTGCATTTCAAAATGATGGCATAGGTGCTTTAACTAAAGCTCATCAAATCAGCTTTAGTTAAAGCACCCCCACCTCCATTTTGAAATGTGGGACCCTGTGGGTGTTTTAATTAGAGCAGCTCCTGAGAGCCGCTCTAATTAAAATGCCTCTCTCTCCCGCACCCCAGAGCACACGCAGAGATGATAGACAAGTCAATTCCTAAACAATTGTCCATAGCGATCTGCAGTTTCATACAAGTTCTGTCATTCAGATTTTATGAGAAGAGTAGATTTATGGGACACACCCATAAATAATTGACTCCATTTGGTTGGTTGCCACATTCAGCAACAACTTGGGGAAATCCCAGCTGTAAAACCTTGGCACTATTTAGCTAAGCAGGTTGCACTGCTTTCACACAGGTGTTACTCCACTGACCTACTTGGAGTTACTCCTGATTTGCACTCATGAGAAAGAAGAATCTGGATATTTACTGAAGTTGTCCATATCATCTCAAGAGCAGCAAAAAGCCTCTTAAACCAGCACAGATCAATCTGGCAATTCAAACCCTTCTCCCATCCATTGTAGCAGCACTAGATTCTATACTTCACCTGCCCCTGCATTTCCAAGTAACAAAATGGTGTCGATCAGCTTAGTCCCCAAATTGATCTGTGGTTTTAAAACACTGTAATACAATCACCAACATACTAGAGCAACAAGGCAGATCAAAACCTGGAAGTTAAGTCTTGGCACCTGTTTTGAATTTCAAATAACACATCTTTTAATTCAAACATTCCCCCTTGAGGTGCTAGAAGCAAATTGAGTAAAAGCATTCTGGGGAGGGAGAATCAGAAAGTGAAAATAAACAGGAAATGAAACTTACACTACCTTAGAATCACCAAGAAAATGAATGGCAGAAAGGAAAACAGACCGCATCAATCATACTATATATTAGATTAACACACTTTCCATTTCAATCACCAGAATAGGGATCAGATTTTGGGGGTGGGGGAAATAGGGCTAGATCCTCAGTTGGCTATCAGCACCATATAGATTAATTCAAAGAGGCATAAGCTTTCATAGGCTTACAGCCTACTGTCATGCCACAAATGGACAGGCAGAGAGCACGGGTACTAAACAGAAAGGATAAGGTTATTTAAATAGAAAGGACAGAGAAAGTGGTCAGAAAGGAAGGGGCACTGCTTAGAGAACTGAAAGTGAATTGAGATCAAAAACTAAAACACCTAACTACCTCTCTACTACCTCACAGTTAAAACCATATTACTGTAATCACTCACCTCACTGCCACTGTCCTTTAGACAAGGGAGCTATGGAAGTTGACCTTGGCTAAAGATCTGACCCACAAACTTAACCTTGGCAATGTCCCTTCAACATTTCAGGGTTCCCGACTTGGAAGTCTCTGCTGCCCCTAAGTCTAAAGTTGCTTCTTAAGTAGGTTGCAGAGTGTGATGATTTCTCACTTCGTTCATTCTTACTTTGTTCACTTCCAGCCGCGCTGAGTGAAGTGAGACAGCCATCAAATCCAATAGAGGGGAAAATTACACATACTTTGTAAATAGTTTCTGAATGGTAAGTAAAGTTGTCTGTGATTTTAGTTTCCTGTCATAAGTTCACTCATCTTTTGGATTTTCATCTACTGAAAAAAAACACTAAAAAGCCCTATAAACACATCTGTTCCTTACCCCTGAAAAAGGGGCTCAAAGGTCTACTGGCTTCCACCAAAACTTGGGATTCTCTTCCCTCCTCATGTTTGATTCCTAGTCTCTTTGTAGGTGAGGTGACGCACACTTTCAGCACAATACAAAGCCACAACAAGGTCTGCAAGTTTCCCACTCAGCCCCTTTCCCTAAGTACTGATGGTGGAGGCTGTCATATTTCACTGTAATCAAAAGCAGAAACAGCCAGGCAGGCTAGTGAGGCTTCAGAAAAGGGGAATCCTGCCATGAAAAATGGATAAACTAGAATTAAAACCAGATGAGCAGAGGCAGCAGTTGCAAATAGAGAGTAAGGCATGTTAAATATAAGCAGGATTCAAGCCTCTGCAATGGCTGCAAGTGAAAATAACCAGTTTGGGTAGGATCACAGAACACCATTCAGGCAAATATTTTCTCTTTTCCTTTGCCTGGTGGGGTGGAATTTTTTGATGGGATGGGCTTCGGGAAGTATTAGTTACTGTCAGAATTCACTCTCCAGTTGGCCATGGTATTTCCAAGT